GAAGTGATTATTGCTATTCAAAGCTTTTTTAAGGAAGAAGACTGTTGTAATTACTTTCAACATCTACTATAGTTCTCATCCCAAAGAAAAATATAAGATCTTACTGAGAATATTTTCGAGCTCTGCTTGACATCAGTGATATCTAAGATCATCAGCACAATCATTGGGCCTTGGCTTCATTCTATACTTACTATCATTATTTCAGTTAATCAGTCTGTCTTTACAATAGGCAGAGTTATCACCGACAATATCCTATTAGCCTAAGAACTTATCCATGTTTTGGATAAAAAATATAGAATTGACAACCTGATCATGAACCTAAACTTCATAAAGGCTCACTTCAAGCACCTCTTCAAAATTTGACCAAATTCATTGAATCTTCTAGAGAAACTGTTTCTGGCACCATAGCTCCCATCTCGCTCGATTGATGGCGCTATGGCGCCAAGGGCTAACGCTATGGCCCCAGTTTAAGTTATTCTATTTTGGTCCATTTTCTCTAAATATCCATTCCTTGTACCTGAAACAAAAAAACATACAAAATACCTTCCTTTAAAGTGCAATATCATCAAAAATGTGCATAAAAGGAACATTAAATGTATATTAAAATAGGTAATTTTCATATGGAACGAAGATGCCATACTTTTTACTAATGCAAGGAAGGTCTCTGTTGAAAGAATGTTTAAACTCCAACTCAACTTTCAAGATATTTCTCGAATGACGAGGTCCAAGTGTCTGGTGTTCTTGAGCCGGACTGTGAAGAAACCATCAGGGAGTTAGATTAGAGAGTATATTAGCTTTGCATTATTTGAACTCCCTATTACTTATCTTGGGGTGAATTTGCTTGAAGGTAGAGTTCCACAGTCTCAATTTGATGGGGTTGTAGATGTTATTAAATCACGGCTTCATGATTGGAAAAAACTCTTTCTTATCTTATTGGGGGAGGATTACTCTCCTTAAGAGTGACCTCAATACTACCCCTTTATATGCCTTGCAGGTTCTAAAGATGAAATCAAGCACCCAACATAATCTTGTGTTATGTCTTAATAAAATTCTATGGTCGGGGAGAAACATAATAAACATTGGGCAAGCTGGAATAAAATGTGTATACCTCTGTCTGCAGGTGGCTTAAGTTTTAAGGAGCTTTAGCATAGTGCTGAAGTGCATTCTATCAAAATTTGGCTCAAATTTTGGGCGAGGAATTCATTGTGGGATGAGTTTATGCATCAAAAGTATTGCAGGGAGAAGCACCCGATCCATATATCATTTAATGTTAGTGACTCCAAAGTCTGGAAAGCCATGCTTAATGCTTGATTGTGGGTTGAAAAGTACGATTTTTGGATCTTGGTAATGGATAATTTTCGTTTTGGCATGATAAATGCTATATGGAGGATTTATTCTCCAGCTTTAAAGAGGAAATAGAATAATGTGTGGTAGTTAATTGGTGGTGAAGCAATGAATGTAACATCTCCTTACTCATGGAAATGGTGGGGGTGGATCGTGCTAATGCCATTTCCAAGATCCCCGTTGATGTTAAAAGAAAGGATATTTTGGTAACTAAATTTTCTTCATCTCTATCACTATCTAAATCTATTTATTTCAATCTCCACTTGTGGAGACCTATTGCTTGGGGTAAGAACATTTAGTTTAAGTCCTGTGGAGAATATATTCTCAATTGTTGTTCCTTGTTGATATTCTCAAACTTAAGGGATCGAAACTCCCTTCTCAATGCATTTTTTTTTAAATGGAGGAGAAAGACACGGATTATCTATTATTTAAATGTCCTTTTGCATTATCTATTTGGGCTAAATTGGGTATTATTTTGGGGATCAATGATGCTAGTTCGGGTGGGGGTAGTTTGAATTATTGCTTATCTTATTGGTGTAAACAAACTAAACAATTTTTTTTTTGAATATTTTCCCATATATAGTGTGTTGGTTTCAGTGGATGGCAAGGAATATGGCTAAACACCAAGAGGTAGAAGCATTGTAGAGGGGGGCAACTACTAATACAAATACTTACATTAAGAAAGTTATTTCTTATAGGGGTCACTGTTTGTCTTTTTTTGCTAGTTTGAGCTCACTCACAGAGCAGGTACAAAAAGGATACTCCAAAGTAAATGAGCTGCGAGTGTAGCAGGTGGTGGGGAAAAACCAATTAACTTGTGGCTGAAGGTAAATATTGATGGTAGCTGGTTTCCTTGAGGTGCAGGTGTTGCTGGAGTTTTTAAGGATGGAGATGGTAATTGAAAATATATTTTTTTCCACTCCTGTTTGTGCTAATTCTCCTATTGAGTCCGAATTGTAAGCAGTGTGAATGGTTATTAGAATTGCGATTACTTTTAAATGGAAGTAGCTTCATGTTGCATCTGATTGTGCTGTGATCATTAATATTTGAAATCAGAACAATCTTGTTATGTTGGTGAAACTAGGTAACAACTGTGAAGTGAAGATATTGTTATTTTAGCATAAAATATAGTTTTATTGTTTTTATTATCGGTCTCTCTTTCCAATTACACTCAAAAGCCATAAGGAGCTAAATATGTGTCTTAATATCAATGGTTTAATGGCGTGGTCGAAGGCAATTGGTGCGTACCTGAAGAAATCATAAATTCTCTTAGATTAGCATGAATTTATTTGAGCCAACCTAAATTTATACAGGCTTATATGAACTTACCCCAACTTTATAAAGTCACGGTGAACTTGAGCTAAAAAGGATAATTTGTCAAAGCTAAAAGTTCACTTAAAATTCAACATTTGCACAAGCTCGAAAAATTACTTCCTAGGCCAACATCTTTATTAAGAAAGGTCTATCTCTTTCTTTAAAATAGCACGAGTCCTCCTACCCAGCTCTTTTGTAATCAAGTTACACGCTTCATAAAAACAAACCAGAAGTAAATTTTGCAATGAATTTTCTTATTCATGTAGCATAAAATGTAAGTTTTTCTTGTGATACTTGAACTCCATTCCAAGCTTATAAATAAAGAGTTGCATGAAGAGCTTTAGTTATGAAATCTCCACTACAATAAACAAATATAATCAAATCTCAAACATTTTGAGTATAAGTATTAATTTATTTCTCTATTATTTTTAATTATAAATAATTTTGAACTCTAGATATATAGTGCACATATTTTATTCAATCGTGGGACAATGTTAACAAAATTGAAAGCTATAAAATCTCCACCAAGTAATAGTTTATAACAAATGAAAGAAAAGAAAAAAAACATATCGCTTATTCACACATAAAAAATATCATATAAGGATATTAGCTGCGAAAATAAAATTTGGAAAAGAAAATGGTCTCCCTCTTATTTTCGAAAATGTTGTCTTGGATATGCTGTCCTCGTGTCTTTGAGGAACATCTCCATTTCCCTTACGATTTTCCTCGCAATCCTCTCCCGAGCCCTAGGTTGGTGGGGCTGGTGCTTCTGCTCGCCTGGAGCGAGATCAGATCTATGCCGTTCGTGGCATTGTACTCTTCCTCTGCTCTTTCTTTTCCTTTACATTCCAGCATAGGAGGTTTAACTGGCCTGATTTCAAAGGTTTTCCCTCCGCATGCGGTGAGAATTTCCGTTTACTGATCTGAAATCGCTGTTTTCTTCTCTATTTGTGATGGTTTCTTCTGAATGTACGGTTAGCTTTTCAATTCTTGTAAAAGCTGGAGCCTTTTCTTTTTTTTTTTTTCCATGCCCGCCCTTTTCGTTTCTTTAACGTGGTCTAGTATTTTTTTTGCTATGGTTTTGGCTGTATTTTTGGCAATAGTCATTTTCAGGTCTGATTCTTCGTCTGTTTCTGATCCGACTTCCTTTCAGAAATATCTTGGTTTCACTTTGCTTTGGCATTTGTGAGATGCATCTTAGTTGAGTTTGCTCACATGGTGCATTATCGAGGAGCTGCTTGAGGCTGAAGGGTACGTGCTTTCTCTGGAGGGAGTTTATGAGTCAAGGAGAAGGAGGTGGAGGCCCTCCGCTAGATTCAGCTCTCTATGATCGGCCCTTCTAACTTGACTACGAGCTGTTTTCCCATGAAATCTGCAGCCATGGCCTCATCTTCATCTCAATCCCCAGTTACTGTAGCCTCGATATCTGACGATGGGGCCAATGCATCCACCGATGCCAGTGCAGCCACCGATGCTACGGGGTTCAGCCAGGACATTATTGGGATGCCAGATTTTCCTACACGAACCATCAGCCACAGACGTTCTTGGTCGGAGGTTCTTAGCTTACCAGATGATATCAGTTTTGACGGTGACCTTGGGGTTGTTGGCGGCATGGATAGCCCATCACTTTTTGATGATACTGAGGATGATCTCTTCTCCATGTACATTGATCTTGAAAAGTTCAATAAATCTGCTGGAACTGCAGGGGAGGTCTTAGAAGTGGATGATCCCTCAGGCACTGCCACGCCTCCTGTTCCTCTACAACAGACAGAGAACCAGGAATCAAGTTTGAATGATAAACCCAAGTTTAGGCATCAGCATAGTTACTCTATGGATGGCTCCAGTTCAGTGAAATCAGAGCTATTGCCATCTGGCTTGGAGATTCCAACAGATGCAGAAACAAAGAAAGCCATGTCTGCAGCAAAGCTTGCTGATCTTGCCCTTGTAGATCCAAAGCGAGCTAAGAGGTTTGTATTTTACTCGTTAGGCTGTTTAGAAATCCATTCAAGAGAATGCTTCATGATGCTCTCATTAGATGGAATTATAGAATGTACATTATTTTCTTCAATGTCAAATGTGGCGTTAGATGCAGAAAACTTTCCCTCGCGAAACATTCCATTTTAAAAGGATTTGATTCAGCGTTTTTGTGTTGGATTCAATGATATTATATGTTTTTCACTGCACTGTCCATGTATTATACATGTTTCAATCAGATTTTTCATTTATTGGAAGATGAGTAGCAATAACTTATAAAAAAGTCTGAAGAGGCATTTAAAGGTGATGAAGGTCCTTTACTGTACCATACAATTTTACTTAATAGATGAATAACTTAGGAATGTCGATTGTTGATGGGGAGAATATAAATATATCATTTTTATTAGTTCTTTGCTACGGTGATAAACTTGTAGTTCTTGAAATTTTATGACCATTTGGTTAAATGACTTGTAGCCTTTGTCTGGTTTGATTAATGTATAGAATTAGCAAATTAGAAGTGCCATCTCCTGTTGATGCCATGTAATGAATCAATTGAAATAGCTGAGTAAATTTTTATTGCAAATGATTCCAATTTGATTTTATTATCAAGTTTTGATTCTGTTTTCAGATTGTTCAATAGATGGCAAAATGTTCTTTAGCAGTGGGCATAGCTAATGCATTAGAAAGTAGATAAAGGTGATGGTCTCATTGCACCATTTTTTGGTGTTTACATGAAAAGTTACTGTTACTGATTTAGTTTTGCCATGTGCTTGTTTTTAACATTTGGTAAAATGTTTGACTCATTAAATGTATTTTTGTGTTGAGATTATTCTTCAAAATAATCCCCCTGACTATTTGTGTGTGGCCAACCAATTTAACCCTTGAGTATCACATTTTTTCAAGTTATTCATTCAATCATACAGAATTGATCCAACCTTGATCTTAATTTTGTTCCTTAAGTACATTTAATTGATCCCAATTTAGTTCGTGAGCGGCATTTTGCATTGATTTTGTTTGTGCAAGGGACTAAATTTGAGATATGTGACATTTTTGGCCCAAATTAGGCGCATGGAAATAGTGGGACGGTTCTGAGGTTTACTTGTAAAGTAATAACAGATCCCATTAATACTTTTTGATGGTGAATTGATTCATATGGGTTTTCTTTTTCTATTCTTTAGTTAACCAACCCCTCTAAAATTACCTTTTCTACCAATTTTTTCACTTCATTGATTGTTTGAACTCGTATATATTCTGCAATGCAGAAAACCAAGACCATTTATACTTCTAACTTGAATAATGTGATAATTTTGTATATGCAAGGGACAAAATGCGAGATCTTTGATATTTTTGGCCCAAATTGGGCGCATGCAATTAGTGTGGGGCTATTTTTGAGTTTAATTTGTGAAGTAATGACAGATCCCAGTAATATTTTTTGATGGTGAATTAATTCATATGGATTTTCTTTCTCTATTCTCTAGTTCACCAACCCCTTTGGAATTACCTTTTTAACCAATTTTTATACACTTCGTTGATGGTTTAAACTCGTATATATTCTGCAATGCAGAAAACCAGGCCCAGTTAAACTTTAAACCTGAATAATGTGATAATTTTGTTTCTATATACGATAAAAGAAAAAATAAATAACTTAACGAGAATTTTATTTTATACAAAGCTATAATGGCTGCTAAGCAAGCATGACAGCCAAAATTTGAACAAATGTACATTATATTCCTTAGAAGAGAAAAACGTTTTATTTTATATGTTGCATCTCATCTTTTTTAATAAATTCTTTCAGTTGTTCATGGTTTCACATGCAATTTTTCTTTTTAATTTTTTTTCCTATAATTTTTCATATTGTTTATTGCTTTTCATATTCATTTATGGTCACATTCTCTTATGTGCAAACTATTTGTGTTGGATTAGGTCAAATCCTGACTTGTATAGCTGTATCCATTCAGCTTTTTACTAAGTAATTTCAGAATTCGGATAAATTAATTCCATTTACACTAGATATTATTTATGTTTGCAGCAAAAGTGAAGATAATGAGAGGACAAGGAATTTGTTTTGTTTTGGGATTAAATTTTTTGTTGCATAATATAGACCATTATATTAATTAACAATTTCAATCAATCCTTTTTTGGGGCAATTAAATACATGCCACTCAAAATAGGTGCTTACAAAACTAGCACTATCTTTCGTCCATTTTTCAAATTCTCTCAAAAATATCAAAATTCACAATAAAACCCCAACCCATAATTTGCATTTTTATCAAATTCCTAATGGTTTGATCGTGGCGCCCGTAAATACATCGGACCGATAATTAAAAAAATTCATATGGTTAGTTTTATAAATATTCATATGTGTGTGTCTGTGTGTTTGTCTGTTTGTATCTTTATCCGAATGAATGCATGCATGTAGATAGAAACTCACACAAAATCACACACACAGGCATACATACAAACACACACAGACGCGCATACAGGCACGCGCGCACACACACACACATACAAACATACGTAACTTACACATAGACATACATACGAATACACACACGCAAATACAAACATACATAACATACATACCTACATGCACACACATACGTACATATAGACATACGTAACACACAAACACACTTACGCACACACACATCATACATGCATCCAGACATAGGTAACCTGCACACACACCTACATGCATACATACAAACATACGTAACACACAGGCACAAACACACACACACGCACTCACACAGGCACACAGACACATTACATACATTTATTTGCCAAATGGTAATGCAGGAAGATGGAATTTTAAACAGAGTAAGGTTTCTAATAAGACTGATTTGTTTTATCTTTTTGTAATTTTTTAAAATGTTTTGGTTTCTCTTTTATTTTAAACTGTTGACTAAATAAATCTTCCTTCATTGACTCTTATGTCTGATTTGAGCCTGACCATACCTTGTTAGACTTTTGAGGCTGGTTTTAGGAGTACAATTGAACAGCAGACACATTTTGTTTCCTTGCTAATGTTTGTTCAACATAATGGATTGCATGATACCTAATTTTGTTGTATTATGACGAAAATTAGCCAAATTCTAGAGTCATAATATTCCATAAATTACAAATTCTACTCTTCATGTTAAAGCTCTTATTAAACTTCTACTCTTTAGTTCGTCCAAAATGGATTGTTTTGCACTTTCATTCCCAAAGCTTCCTTCTCAATTCAACAATTATTCAAATTTGCTCCTATGATCATATCCATTGCCCAAACAATGTTAGAGGACAAGAGCATATCTGATTCCCTGCTAAACAGTAATAGAGAAAGTTGGAATTTTAATCCTAGTAATGTTTCCAAGAAGACAATGCTTTGTTCTTTCTGTACCTTTTTTTTTCAACTGTCTTGCTTCCTCTTATATTTTAACCTGTTGACTAGGGCCTATTTGAGACATTTTTCTGTCAATATTGCACTTCAGACCACCATTATAGTTCTGTTTGGGGAATTGCTTTCTAAAAATTTTTTTGTTGGGAAGGTTTTTAACGACTTTTTAAAGTGTAGTGGTTGAGAAAGTTTTTGGCTAATTTTTTTTGGTAAGATATGTATTTATAATTCCCTTCGTAGCTTCCTAAGAAATAGTTTCTTTCCCCACAACTTTATAGTCACCTTTTTTAACAAGCTGCAGTCACTTCAAACAGACCCTACATCCGCCTTCTTTAACACTTATGTTTGCTTTGAGCCTGACCAGACTATTTTAAACGTTTAAGGCCGGTTTTAGTAGTAGGATAGAACAGCAGGCATATTTTAGCTTACCCATATCTTTTGCCTTCCTACCTTTTATAATTTGGAAGCATTATTCGATAATGGAATTCTATCTGAGCTACGTTTCATTATTTCTCCTTGTATAACTGAATATGGTAGCAGCATTTTTTTGTGTAGGATTTTTTCTCCAATTTCAATTACACATTTTATCTACTTCTCCAGTGACATAATTTGTTTTTACATTGTGCTACTGTACTTTTGTGTCGATTATTATGATTCATTTGCAAGATGTGATCATTTTTTGTATGATTATACTTCCCACCAAACTATTGTCTCCAGGTAATTTTTTATTCTTTTTCTTTTCTGTGTACATGCTCACTGACTTCCATCTATTTGTATGTTAGAATTTGGGCAAACCGGCAGTCTGCTGCTAGATCAAAGGAAAGGAAAATGCGCTACATTGCAGAGCTTGAACGAAAAGTTAAGTTACTTCAAACAGAAGCAACAACAATGTCAGCTCAGTTGACCATACTACGGGTATGCATCTTAGTATGATACCAGTAATTTTGTTGGAACTACCGTTATTTTTTCTCTTGCAGAGTATATAGCTCTTTCCATAAGTTTAAGCTTAATGATAATACTTTGAATCTATCCTCTACTTATATGTACATTTAGTGAGCAATATATTAACTTATGTTCAGTTTTGCTGGTTAGTTTGAAAATATTGTTTGAATGGATGGGGTGGGACTGCCTTTGGCCTGATTTTTCTCCGGCATACCTGAGCATGGTCTTGTTTTGAGCTTCATACTGACTTCAACTTAGGCTTGCTTGCTCATGTTTTCATATTTCTAACCCAACACAGCATCTCAATTGAATTCCTTTTTTAATTTATGGTCACAAATTGGAAACTGTCCCTTGAGTAAATTTTTTTTGAAAGATTTATGTACATACCAATCAATTCCTATGTATTTACATATCTAACACTTAAAATTCAATTTTTACATATTCCCCACTTTACCTTGGCATGTTTTCATATTTCTGAAATAGAAAATGTGGAGCTTGTGATGAAATTCTCCCCTTTGGAAAATAGAATTTATCTCTTTTTTTGATGTACGTCCAGGAACATGTACTGAAGCTGTAGTTTTGCATTGAAAATAGGTATAAAGTATCATTTTCTTAGCAGGCCAATTTTTAAATTCGAAATTGAAGGTTCTGCATTTTGAGTAGAGTCTACGTATATTTTATTTATTTTATTTTTTTTAATTTTTAGTTTTGTGTTCGAATTCAGTAACTGTTATTTTTTTACAAGCATTTCCTTTTGTTTTGTTAAATATTCTTTACATAGGAATTTCAGCTCTCCGATGCATGTTAAATTTCATATTGAATTGTATGATTGATTGCCCTTGCATCTCTTACAGAGGGACACCAACGGGTTGAGTGCTGAAAACAGCGAGTTGAAGCTGCGTTTACAAACCATTGAACAGCAGGTCCATCTGCAGGATGGTAAGTCTTTTTTGCACAGTTCTGCATCATATCTTTTATTACTCCCATACAACATTATCATGTATTAAAAATATGTAGATTTGCACTATATGTAGCATTATACTTTTATGATCTGCCCATCTTCCTTTAATTTATCTTTTATGTGGCAGCCTTCAATCTTATTATTTTTTAATGGCTCCTCCCGATTTATTGTAATGTAATTGCTTGTGATGTTCATAGTGATTAACAATATAATTGAATTTTGAGAGATGCAAAGATCGTTAAAATTGATGTTTATTTGGGATCAACTTTGGGTCTTTTTGGGACATTTTTTTAACTACTTTGCTTGCGAAACGGTAATGTTTGAATTCAACTTTATAGATTTTTTTTTAGAAATTTATGAGAAGAAATTTTTTATAACTAAATCCACTTAAAGCTGGTAGTGGGAAGAAAGTTGATATCCTATTTCTTCAGAAGGAATAAAAAAATGCCTATAATACTCATAATAACTTAAAAAAGTATTTCTCAAATGTTGCAAACATTTTTTATAGATAGCTGCAACCTTCCCAAAGAACTTCTACGAAATTTTCCTTGCATTCATTTGATTATTCTTCCTTTAATCCTGTTGAAAGTTGATGTTTGAAATTATTTTTATTCTTAGCTGAATTTCTGCTATCACTGCAACAGCACTAAATGATGCAATGCGCGAGGAGGTGCAGCTATTGAAGTTAGCTACCGGACAGATAACACCAAATGCATCAATGATGAACTTCAGGCCATCTCTTGGAACCAATCAGCAATTTTATGACCATAATCAAGCAATGCAATCTCTCATAGCAGCTCACCAAATTAAGCAGCTCCAAATCCGTTCCCAGCATCAGCAGCAGCTCCTTCCACACCAGCATCAGCATCAGCAACAGCAGCCGCTTCCTGCAGAGGTCAAGGTGAAGGGAACAATGGCGTCTCAGAACCCAAGAGATGCTATTTATGATACTAACAACACTCACAAGGAGAGATGGAACTTACCTTGAGGTCAATAGCTATTTCTTTTCTTGTAACTCGCAATATATTTTCTAATTTGGTTTTATGACTCCAAACAATATATAGCTGTTCGAACCATACCAGGAAATTCGTTTTGATTATAATTTAGCTTAAATATTTTCAAATGTTGGTGTTCATCATCTGTGATTCATCTTCATGGTGGGATAATGATGCTATTTTCTTATTCATTCTTTATTCCTACTCTAGATGCACCATGTTGGAATGGCTAATACTTTTTGAAGTTTTCTTTTTATTATGATTATTATTATTATTATTATTATTTTATTCTATTGTTTTGGACACGACATCTTACTCGGCGGAGCTATAAAATTTTTTGAATAAAAAAGACTACTGCGAGTGTAATGGTGGCGAGATGAATATCTCAATGGTTTGATATTTCGCTGTGAGAAGTGTGATGTCTTTAGATGTGAGGTAAATACCGTATCTCAAAGATGCAGTGCAAATCCGTTGTCAATGCCAGATTCGGGTTATGAACCACCTTTTAAAAATTCTTTTTTGAGATTTACGAATTGGTTTTTGAAATCCAGATTGATAAAATTAGTTAATTCGTGTAATAAAAGAAAAAAAAAAGTTGGTTTGTAATTGAGATTTTGTTGGGCAAAAATGGAAAATATTGACTAAGATTTTGCTATGAATTTTTGTTATTTGGACGAGAGTTTGATAGGTAGATGCATATTAGTTTTGTAGATAGTCAAAGTTTTGAAGGTATTTTGGTCGTTAACTCGGTTTGTGCTAGATTTTCTTTTGGCCTGGTGTAAGTTGGTGAAGGTAGAAGGGACAATTTTACAAAGGATGGTGATTAATTATAGTTGTTTTCTCTTAAGTGTCCGTATTTCTGAATTAGAGAGACATTGTACTTTAAGATATTGTTAAAGATTAAATGGATGGATGAACAATAGTAGTCTGTTCCTGCCTATTACTAGAATATTTTGAATATGTTTTCTTCTTTTTCTCTTACTCTTAGTGGTGTCCTCCGCCCTTATAAAATAAAGAGAAATTGAAAAAAAAAAAAGAGCTTCACCCTAAGAACAATTAATTATGATACTAATTTTTTAATATTGATTGTAGCTGTCGAGCCGAAAAACTTGCTATCTCTACCATATACACTTCTTACTTGTGAAAGCATATTTGAGTAGAAGACATCTTGGCATGGAAGGGTGGTAAGAGGGGCGACGATGGAGACAAAGATAGTGATAGTGCCAATGTTTCTCATCTGCAATTGCTTTCTTTCTTTTAGCAAGAACTTTAATTTGTGTAAGAAGAAAAGAAGCATCTTGTTCCGTCTTTCTTGTCTTCGTGAAACCATCTTCTTATAAAAGAAATTTGAGTAATTTGAGATTTATTCTACTTGGAATGAGTCATAGATTACAACTACCACTCTAGGTAGAAAAACAGATTTGGAGTGAATATTCAAATACATCTTGAAATGAACTCATCTGAAAATCAAATGTGTTTAATCCATTTTATTTGCCTTTTCTTTTTCTAAAATTGAAAATATTACTCTCACATGTTCTTGCATTCATCAAGCAGGTGAGCTTTTAGGTCCTTTTTTGTTATATTTATCTTAAATAATGTCAGTTTCTATAGTTAGAATTTGATTCAAAATAATGTTGATCAATCAAAGCAATTGAAAAGCTAGTGAATTTTGTTGATCTCACAAAATCCCTTTCTCGTCTCCATCCACTTGTAAGATATCAGATGGAGAATAATGTAGCTTTGATTTGTTCCAAGTGGTTGATTAACCTTAGATTTGTAAACAATTGCAGTCGTCTTGTTAAAAACACTCTCTTAGACATATTCTAGATTGCTATTTTTCTTCTTGAGGAATGCATACTGCCGACTTATCATCTTGGATTTTTTATTCTCAAGCATTGCCTACTTTCTTCTTTGACTTATATAGAAGATAAAATAAAAAAGAAAAAAAAAAACAAATAAGAGTGCAAACAAGCTTCTAGTAGTTTTGTTCCCTACCCAAACCTCATCTCTGTCTACCATGCCAAGTAGAGTTCGCATGTATAGTCTAAGGTTTCCTTTCGGATGAGTCCGCCCCGATGAAGGCACAACTCTAAGCAACATATAGAATTTGTTCATTTTTGTTTGTTTTATTGCTTCTATTCATCAACATTCTTGCTTTCATAATTCATGCTTTGATATCTCTTCCCTTTAGCCTCTTTGCAGATGTTGGAGAAAGGTTTTCTTGCTATGAAATAGAATAGATTGTGCTAGAAATTTAGTGCTTAAGAATTGGTTGTGAAAGAATTTATCTCCATCCTTTATCTTAATAATTTTGAATTGGCATTGGACTTATATTAGAAAATTTATGTCTCAAACTCTCATAACCTAAATAAAATCCTCTACACTATAAAGGGTGCATATTTCATAAGATTTTTTTTTTCTAAAATGGGATTCAAACCCTAAAGTAGATGACATTGTTAACTAGCTGGCTAGCCTAGTTCTATTCAATTTCTAACATTAACTCTATTAACAAAAATATAATCTCATTTAAAGATTTTAAGCATAAAAATGTCAACATTTGATTAGCTTCACTTAACAAGCTTATTTTAGTCCATTCCATGATGTAGTAAACGTATCCAATCTTCTTCTAATTTGTTCAATTTTATGTTCTGCAATATAATTGATCATTAGACTACCTTGGCATGGTTTGTGGGTCATCTACGATCAAGATAAAATCAAATACCATAATATAACTGTTTTTTAGGGCATTTGATAATTTTGAACTACATGATCTTATTATTTAGCTCGGCCTCTTTCAAAAGTTTTAGATCCCAGGACCAATGAATGACTTTATTATACGCCTTTGAACTCTAGTCTGATTTAATATGACCCTATTAAGTGAATGATCTGCATTTGGAATAATTGATTTTGTCTAATCAACTATATAGTTTTTAATTAATTGATAATTGTCCAAGATATATTGATTGACTTTTGTTAAATTTTAATTTGTCATATTGATTCAATCAATCCAATTGATCTCATAAGGGCCATTTTCCTAGTTTGGTTAAATTAATTGTCATTGATCAAATAAGTGGAATCAATTATTTTCAATGAGAAATCATGCTCGAGAAAGTTTGATCTATTATTCATTTTACACAATTAATCTAATTGGTCTTAACCTCCCAGGAGCCAAATGCTTAAGAGTTTTACCCATCTGAACCATATTGAATTAATTTAATTAAATTAGCTTCAATTGATCAAATAAAACTCTTCTTAGGTTGCTCCTTATTTATTCATTTACAACTGAGCCCTTAAATCCGTTTTTCATGGATTTGGTCAAGTCTTTTTAGAATGAAAGGTCAAAATTAACTCATTTCGTATAACTTAGCCCTTAGTGGGCTTAACTTTGTACTAACTTAGCCAACAGAAGCTGAGACTTTCTTAGGATGCAAAAATCTATTTAACATTTTTAGTTCTTACATGGCTCCATAGGGTAGCCAGTTGATCAACTGACATTCAGGGTGGCCCAAATAAACCCTTGAACGATCAATTTGACCAACTAAATATTAACCCAGAAATTGACTAATATAAGTGAACTCCAAATTCATGATAAGATGCCCTTAGAAAAAATGCATCCTTACTTTAATATATGACCCATGAATGAATCAACTCTCATATGAACCCATATGAGTGAAACAAGCCAAATTAATCATAAACACCAAATTAATTCAATTAACTATGCATGGATTTTTCCATGGCATTCCCATGATATGATCTACACTAGGTCAGCCAAGTTTAATTATAGGTTTGATCACATTTGATCAAATGATTCAACTTAAAACATTAAATGGGCATACATATTTTAATTTATTTTCTATTCTCCAAAAGATCAAATTAAATCAAATCGCCTTGGTTAGGATATTAGGAAACTAATCCTAGTTGGGTCACTTAATTTGACCCCATAAAATGGGTCAATTAGCATGCATCAAGATGATCAATTTGGACCAAATTGAAATTAAATGAGTTAAGGTTTGTCAATTATTGTAATTATTTAGGGAATTAATTGTATTAAATTTTGAGTGATTTTAACCAACTCCCATTTAGGTTTAGTTATGATTAAGTTAATTAACCATTATTTAAATAAGGTTAATGAAGGTTAAGTATAAGTACATTTGGAAAATGGGAAATTTATCTGTTTTGTACTACATGCTCTCCCAAATGCTCCTTGGCATATCCTTAGCCACTCATCGGATTTGATTAAATTAGAAGGCAACAAAAAATGGGCTTTAACTGTAGTTGAAGGACTACTTCAAAAGATAGTGACTCTCATTAAAGGAAATCCAAGTCTTAATTTTTTAAGCTCTCAATATCAGGCTAGCTCAACAGACCTCATCGACTGATGGCCTAATTAAGCTCAAGCCACGACTGTGGACTTTGAAAGAAGCCACGTAGGTGCTGTAATAGAGGACTGTTTGTTTCACCCATGAGGAATCTTTCGAAGCTCATAAATGTCTGGTGACTCTTTTGGGAAAGCTTTCTTTTCCATCTTTAGAGTTAGTGCTTGTATCTATTTTCTTGCATTTCAACTATTGATTCACACACACATAGTTAATGCATTTCTTTCAGATATTTGATGGTCTGACATAAATGAAATTCATATGAATTTCAAAATAAAATAATATGTTTCTTCAAAGACGATATCCATGTAATTGATACGATGATATAAGTGAATTCACAGAAATTTTTAATATGTTGAAAGATAACCAAATCAATTTTATGTTATGTACCAGAGCGATGATTAAGATTTTACCTTTGTTGTTTTCTAGATCTAATGCTGACACAACTATTTAGTTTGGGGACAGTCAAACTCAAGCCATTTTAACTCTAAATGACCCCACTCCTGGTGAGGAAACTGCTATATGCTCTCCTAAAAAAAGGATTCTAGGGCATATTTAAACCATGAGACACTGGATTCCTACAAATCAAAAGAAAAGTACTTTTATTGATATTGCGAATAGAGATAAGCCCATGCCTCATGTGTTCACTAGGTTCTCTTCACCTGAGGAGCCTAGTTCTTGTCTTCATGATACCCCTATTTTCATAACCCTAGGTTTACGGAAATTGAGAGCT